GAATTCAAACTATAACATATGTTTTGTCATTAAAATAATATTTAATGCGATTTCCGCAGGTCCAAACTAATTACCACCAAGCAACAATATGCACTAATGGTTGAGCTGTTACAGCAAAAACCTGAAATGGCGCAGGGTTTTACCAAGTACCCTAAAGAAGAAGTGGCAGCCTTTTGGAACAATATGGCCCAAGAACTCAACAGTGTTGGTCCGCCTATCAAGGATATTTCCAGCTGGAAGAAGGTAATATAATAAAGTTAGATTTTATTGTTGTAACAGGATAGTTTAAAGCTTGTTTGACTTATTTTGTATTAGGTATGGCTTGACTGGAAGGCTTACATAAAAAGAAAATTGGTTGAAAATAAAAAGGAGCAGTCAACTACTGGTGGCGGCAGAAATAGGCAGCTCCATTTCAATGAATTGGAGGAAGCGGTGATGATACTAACGGCATTGGAAACAAGTACAAGTGGTATTGCGAATACAGTGAGCATCGGCTTACCTATTGTAGACGACGTGGGCAATGAGACAGAGGCCGACGTATCGATGCCATCAGTGACCTGAAGTCCAGCACTACCTCGACGTACTACTAGGCCACCTGAAACATGTACAGCCGATTTACTTATAGAACAACTTGCAATTCAAACAAAATTTCAGGAAAACGTTCTTGATAAGTTGGACGACCTTTCATTACGTCATTGGAAATGCAAAATGATTTAAAAAAAACCGGAAGTGGAAGAATTTAGAAGGCACAACATAGCTATGGAGAATTTGGTAGCTGCTAAGAATTCCATTAAACAGCAAATGTTAGAGGTAGAGGAAAAAAAATTGCAAGCCATGGCAAAAAATAATTAAATTAATTAAATAAATTTATTTAGGATATTATATTCCTGCAAGTGTTGCACATATAGCTTCTCTGATTTGTGAAACTGAATCATTATAAGTTGATGAAAGAATTTCATTACTTTCTGTAAAAATATTTGGATCCGAATAATTTTCGAAACTTTCATCATTCACGCTATAGTGAATGCAAACGTTGTGTAACGCTGCCGCAACATTAACGATTTGAGATGCCTTCCATGGCTCATAGTAAAGCCAGAAGACATCTAAATCGATTTTTAAAAACTCCTATTGTTCTTTCAACGATATTTCTCGCTTTTGCATGTATTTTATTATATTTCTCTTCTGGGCTTCCTGAGGGAAGGGTACGGAATGGTGTCATTAACCATGGTTCTAAGGCATATCCAGCATCTCCTGTACAAATATTAAATTTTGGGAATTTTTGTAATACTCGTATATATGTGTTTGTATGTATAATACCCAAAAGCCAAGTGTTTCGTTCACCATCGAGGTACTTTTTCTCATGATAATAACGAGCATTGCTGACATTCCATATGTGGGAGTCCTGAATGCTGCCAGGAAACTGAGCATTCACATACCGTATTTTCATTTCATTGTCACATATCTGCAAAACATTGATTAAGATGTTTGAAATGCGAATTTCTCACCAAACTTACAACCATGGCATTGATACTAAAGTATCCTTTGCGGTTATAATAGAGAAACTTATCTTTAGTTGGAGCAACGATTTTAATATGTGTCCCGTTTACACACAAAATCGCGCCTGGAAATCCGTATTTCTGAAAGATGACGATCTTGAAGAACTTGCATTCCTCTCTAGAACATCGAGGACATACGTAAATGCCGGCTTATTTAAGCGGTAGTTTTTAATAAACCTGTTTTAGAAAAATAATTTTAATAAAATTTAACAATGAATTTTTGTCGATTTTTGAACTGTACATTGTTTCGTACACATCGAAAGGGTTGCTCTTGTCCCTCAGAGATTTTCGGTGAATTTTTAAATCACTCCGACTTCTCTCACGTTCTTCCTCAAGTAACACAAATAAAAACGTAAGCGAATACATATTTTGTTCGTAAAATCAATTTGAATATAAACGATTTCACATTTATTAATCAAAATTTTAATTTTTTCTTCTACACAGCTGATTTCGAAATGTCAAAATTCAAAATTAAGTCTGGCAACAAAAGTTTCGAATTCACATGAATTCAATGATGGCAAATTATGCGTATTCGTAGCGGACATTCGTATTCGTAACTTCGCTGCGATGGATTGCGTGATAGGGCTGATTATAATCAGTGCCTGCTTTGGTTTAATCGATGTTTTTGGAAAACATGTTTTGCCGGCCCTAAATTTCACTTGATATTTGTTTACATTTCACATACATATACAACTGTAGCTTGATATTCTCTTATATTATAGGCATGGATAATGATACGAGACTCTTTGATTCCAGAGAGAGCTGTCAAAACACGCATTTTTATAACATTTGCCAATGATGCCACTGCTGAAAAATATTAGATTGGGTATTTAATAAATTACATAAAACACTAAATCAAACACTTCGAAAATGCATACATATATAAATGCTAAAATCCAAAATCATTAATCACTTATTTTGCCTGAATATGTTCGTACAGGGACCCTATTCCGTATCTCGATTCGTAAATGTATTCTATTCGAAATTCGGATATACTTTATAATTTTTCGAAAGTTGTACCACCTTGTGCCAGAATAAATACGTACAATTTTCGTTTTTGCTTTCTACAACTCAAAAGAATTCGAAAATTGGCTTAAAAATCCGAAAATCGAGTTACGGAGTATAAAAAATCCGAATTCGAGTAAATTTTTTTTCGAATCGAGTTACAGACTAGGCCCCCAGTTCAATGAAATTTCATTTCACACTAATTTCGTCAAGTAATTATAGCGCTGCTCTTCTGGCATTCCCGCCTTTTCTGAAATCAGCTGATCGAAATTTCCTGATCTGCTTCGCTGTCAAATAATCAGGGAACGTGTTTGAGAGAAAAATTAGAGCTAATGCCAGAGCAGGAATAAAGGGATGTTCAACTTATTTCAGTGTGAGAGCGCCTCAAAATAAGCGTTTTTTATAACATTTTCCATTATGGCCAGATCGAGAAAAAAAAGAATTTTTGGACATTTTAAATTAAAACAGCCAAACATTTAGTACGAATAAAAATTACTATAGTGGTTATTTATTATGTAGCGAAACTATTTAAATGTTTTTAAAGTATATTAGCACGTTTGACCTTTGAATATCCAATACAAGAATTTAAGTTTGTTAACTCTACATCATTAAATGTTTTTAATCATTTTCCCTTTGAAATAATACTATGATGCTTCAAATCACAAAACGTTTCAGCAAATACTTTCAAATTTCATAAATTTATTTAATTTTCATTGTTTTCCTTTTTTTATAAGTGGTCTAGAACGATGCAACAAATGGGAAGACTTTAGTATACCGTCCCAGGATTTCGAGAATAAAATGGGTATGGTCGGATAGAGGAGATTCTCCAGATCACGAATATATATGGTTATAGCCGCAGGAAGCTTATAGTTTTCGAGATATTCGCGATTAAAGTTGAAATTTTGCAATATTTTAATTACATATTTCTGGTATTTAAAATTAATTTTTCACTTAAATTTTTTAATGTTATATACACTAACACATCACTTATTCATTTGCACACATTTATTTTATACAATATAGTGCAAAAATTGCTTTTAATGTACATTTAAATTATTGTTGAAATATGATTATTTAAGAATAACAAATGAATTACAAAGTGTCAAATAATCAGTGTTACCTTATCGACATCRTTTGTAAAATAACTAAATGAAATAAAGTGAACAGATTATACCCCAAATACGAGAATCAACAACCTATAAAAAGATAACTCTGGTCGGTCCAACACCGGGGTGTACCAAATTTTTTTCGCGCAGAACTCCTTTTTGGGTGTATAAATTTTTTTTGCTCCCGTAGAACACATTTTTACATTGGCGGCCATCAGACCGCTTAAATTTTTTACATATTTTTTATTGCTTATCAACGATTATGTTTCCTATATTCAGGGTATAATATTTCTTTCTAATTTTTTTTTCTTTTAGTTTGTAAAATATTTTAGAATGGTAACACTGATTAGACAAATTTAATTTTACAAATTATGTCGATAAGGTAACACTGATTATTTCACAGTTTGTAATTCATTTGTTATTCTAAACAATAATATCTCAACAATAATTTAAATGTACACTAAAAGCAATTTTTGCACTATATTATATAAAATAAATGTGTGCAAATGAATAATTGATGTGTTAGTGTATATAAAATTGAAAAATTAATTTTAAAGACCGGAAATATGTAATTAAAATATTGCAAATTTCAACTTTAATCGCGAATATCTCGAAAACTATAAGCCTCCTGCGGCTATAACCATATATATTCGTAATCTGGAGAATCTCCTCTATCCGACCGTACCCATTTTATTACCGAAATCCTGGGACGGTATACTAAAGCCGACCCCAACAAATCCCTCCGTTTACATATTCTTTTATGTTAAACGTCAAAATCTAATGAACTCGATTAGCTGTCAAAGTTCAGTAGGTTTTGAGGTTTAGCAATTGCTCGCTCACTTCCAGTGAGAGAGGAGTTAAACATCTCTTTATCTCTGGCCAGAGTCTCGTATCATATTATCCATGTTATAGGGATTCTCTTGCTCTTGCAAAACATTGCGCCGTGCAGAATTTTCTGTTTGGTGCAACGGCACAACAACAAACACACCCAGCGAAATTAATTGCAATGGTTGTAAAATATTGTCAGACCAAAATTAATGTTGCAATGGGTACTCTCTTCGCCTTGCATATTTCGGTATAGGATTTTTGCATTTTGTATCATCGTTCAATCTTGCAAGAGCAACAGGATGCCACTTTTGACAGTTGCGAGTGAAAACTCATCGAAAACACATTGTCGGTCCGAACGTATTATGTATGCAAATAATGAACGAAAACTGCGACACGCTATAACTATAGTTTATAACATTTTCATACGTCATTCTAAACAAAGGGTTCCCCCTTTCCATTCGTGGATAATCCTTTTCGTACAAGTAAAAATAAACCAATTTTAATATATAATTTCTTTGTATTAAGTGAAAAACACCGTGTATTGAAAAGCATATTTTGACATTACGTACAAAAAATGTGCAAAACGTTGACCAACCATAAAATAAATTTTGGTTATTTATTTAGTTTTTCTCATCTCTAATACATTATGCTTTGACTGCATATTTCCTTGTGGGATATATAGATCGCTTGCGTATCTCCTTTAAAGTTTTTCTATTTGCATCCCTAGGCGTCAAAGCTTTGCGAACGGCGCGAGTTCTCTTCTTTCTTAAGTCCAAAGGCTTGTATTTTTTATTTTTAAAGACTTTTCGAAGATTTTCCTTTTGCTTTTGATGCATTACAATATACACTCTTGCTATTGCTTTACGAACCACTCGGCTGCAAAATAGTAAAATATGTATGTTATAATTAAACATTTGCGTAGCTTTATTATTGATTATTTCTATAAATTAAAATTGTACTACAAGAAATTGGAAAATATTCTGTGATTTGGAATATTTACATTTCTTCCCTCTATTATGGATACAAATGGTTGCTACGACAAATTTATAATAAACTTTGATAAAAGAAATTTGGCCTTAGAATATCATACTCCGAATTCGGGGTTAGATGTGGTACTCCAGACTAAGACTACATATTTACATATGTATATTTAGAATACGTTCTATTTGGAGTTACAACAAATTTAACATATATTATTTATATATTCAATATCACTGCATCAGACACCCTCTTTTAGGACCTTATACCCATTTAACCGTACATTCGGAACATGATATTCGTAAGTTTTCAAAAAATTACTTATAAAATTAAAGCAAATATTATAATGCTAATGTAATCACTCGGATGTTAGGTACTTACATTTTCGAAAGCTTTGACGGGGCTCCCCCTGTAACTTTAGCGACACGCAAGTTAAGAAGTTCATTTTTAAGCTCCTCCAACTGCTTCGTCAGCTCTTTTTTATCCTTTGTACGCAGTTCAGAACACTTCACTTTCACCTGGAATACCATAAAAAATTTAAGAAAATTAAGAAATTTAATAATAGCTGCAAAATTAAAATTAAACAATCATTTAAGTTCCCATAAAATTTTACATCAAATATATGTGATGATATTGGATTAAAGAATCCATTAATCGTAGTCATGCATTACCATTTTGTATGCCGTTCACATAAAAAAGACCTTTAGCAACCAATATGCTTGACAATATTACAATTTATGTGTTCGATCATTCAGCTTCGTGTGAGGTGCTACGTTCAACGGCGTAGTTTGATTTGCAATAGCAGCTATTCATTCCACACATATAAGTAGGCCTTGATTTTTTCTGAACTGTTAGTCGGCTATTACACGAAGCAACTTTTATTGCCACAACTATTGGTTTAAAGGCGAGGGCGCAATGAGGAGAAGAGAATCGCGCCGAGTTTCCAGTGTTCAGCAACACGCGTTCTTATTCGTAACAGTTCGCTGCGACGTTTTTCTGCATTCGTGTTCTTTCTTTCGTAGTGCATAGTTGCATTTGCGTATTTATTTTGAAATTAATATTTTGAATATATGTATTTAAAAAATTTTATTTCATCTTTTGGTACGTTATTTGCAAATATGTATACAAATATATATAATATGATATAAATATTTTAGAAAATGGAGTTTGACGAAAAAATCGAGTTTATTAAATATATTGATTCAGACGATAGTAAAAAGGGTGATACATATCAAGGTCTGTTATATAATCTTTGTTTTAATTTTGAATTATAAATAAAATGTATTTCTTATTTGACAGAACTGATTCATATATGTGATAGAATGGCCCAAATACTTATAAGGATAAAGAAGCGACAATGGGTTAAAGTAAACTCAAAGAGAATGAGAAAAAAAACTCGAACAGAGTTGCGCAACACAAGTTGCTCGTGTGAAGATAATGGGCGACAGCAAAAAAGAACCGCCCGAGAATCAGCCACAAAAGTTGCTTCGTGTAATAGCCGACTTAGAAGGCAATAAGGGGATTCTCTTGCTCTTGCACGATTGCAGATTGCAAAAATCCTATACCGAAAAATACAGGGGCACGAAGGCACCCATTGCAGAATCTAGTGATATATGAACGGCTGATTCGGTCATTTTGTTGTATTGTAAATGACTATTGTGCATGACTATTGTGAATTGGCGCACCTCTGCATTAACTTAACAAAAACAACTGTACCAAATCTTTAAAATTTGAATAGAAAATATAAAATCAATTTAAAATTTACCTTCCTCAACAATTCCCCCTGCGAGTAGGGGGGACCCCTCCTGGTTCGAGGGGAAACCGAATACACCCGAGGCAAGGCATAAATGTCGAAAGAGGCGACTAAAAGCCATATGCACTATGTCAGGCTTAAGAGACCATGTTTTGATGTCAACATGGTGTAAGTCAGATAATTGCTATAATATTCAGCTGGAAGTCAAATTTTTAGCTTTATATTTATATCACAAAATATAAGGCATTTGTCACAGCTACAAATGCAACCAGGCATTGGGTTTGGGATTTTGTGGAGATTCGTGGTGGCTGTGGTTTAAGCCTAAAGGCAGGAAGGGCATTTTGTCCAATGTGTAGTCGCACTGCGGCCGGGTGCCGGACCCAAAGTACGGCAGAGGTTTTAGATGGGCCTCGWACCCGACCGAGGTGACTAGGGTGTCCCTATCCACCCGAACCAATTGGAACCAAAAATTAAATGCAAAATGCATTTATGCTTTGATTTTATTAATCTATGTACTTCTAGCAATAGAAAGCACCGTGGAGTTTAGTCTTCATAGACAGGTATTGATGTAAAAACACATTGACATTCTTCCTCAACAATTTAACGTCAAACGATGTATTTAAGCAAATTGAAACTTATCACAGGGTTGCAATTATCTTTTTATGTGTCATTGCACGAAAATAAACATGGGTTTGGTCTGACGTATTATACAGCCATTGCAAATAATTTTCTGCGAGTTCGTGCACCGTGAAAGTGTTTTGTAAGAGCAAGAGAATACCACTAATATGTATGGATCGCGATTCATATCAAAAAACTTTTACTAATAAAAAAAGAGGACATCCTGGAATGGTTATCACGTGATTATGTTTGAACCTTTCGTAAATTTTGTATATCAATTCGCGATAGGACAGGACAAAATATTGAAAAATCAAACTTTCAACCTTTTGAAAACGGTAGAATTTCAATTAATTTTATATTTATATTTACATTTAATTTAAACAATTTTAAAACTATGTACCATAAATTAACAGTGAGCAATATATGTTTAAAATATATTTAAATTGCAAAAATACGTACTTTAAGTAATTGAAATTTTACAGTTTAATCTCAAATGTTTCGAAAACTATAAGTTTCCGGCGATTATAACTATAATATATTTTATTCTTAATCTGGAGAATCTTCTTTATCCAACCAGTCCACTTTTAAAATCACCACCCCCCTAAAATCGTGGGATGGTATACTAATGTCTTTTGGTCCGATGCTGTTTTTGTTTCTTCCGATATTTTGTAGAAAAACAGTACAAAAAATAAACAAATTTTGAAGGAAATCATCTATTTAGTCGTTCCTTAAAAAATAGGACTTATTATGAATGAGTATAGGCGCGATGTATTTTGAACTTCTAGCATTCAATCGCTCTCATTTGTTTTAATTTTGCAACCAGTTCCTAATATCACAATAAATATTCAACGTAAATATTCATATTATCTGGATTAGCTCATATTACCAACATAGCCTGTATATTTCTTGTGTTCGACAAAATTCCCTGCAATACGGAGGTAACAGGAGGCATAAACACATTGATACATTTCCAGCTGTTCCCCAACCTTGTTACATTTTCTGTAATTTTCAATTAAATGGGAGAAAATATAAGCAAGAGAAAGGGAGAGAGAAAAACTGTTGACATTCAAGTTTATCGAAATATTAATATGCAAAAATAGAAAAGGCGAACCACCACTTTTCAAGAATATGAACTGATAACAGAAGGAGGAAAAACGGAATATTTTCGGTAATTTTGGCGTGTCAACAATTTGATAAATATTTAATTACGAGACATTATTTTAAATACACTTATAAATATAAAAAATGTGATTTTTTAACTAAAACTTTCTTTATTGCAGATTAACAAGCCGAGAAAAATTCGTAAATGTATACATTTCTACTTCCTTCGGAGATTGCACCGTTACCTGCAAATGTAATAGGGGAGTTCTCTTGCTCTTGCAAGATTGCAGGTTGCGAAAATCCTATACCAAAATATACAATCTATCTAGTGATTTATGAACGGCTGATTCGGTCAATTTATTTTAATGACTATTGTGCATGGCTATTGTGAATTTGCGCAACTTCTTCATACATTTTTAATAAAAAAAACTGTAACAAGTCTTTATAATTTGTAAGGCTCCGAAAGCTAGGATGGTACTATGCTCCTCGAAAATGAATTGATAACTTTTATTTAACAAATAATTTATTTAATGCAAAAGTTAATAATGAAATTGAAAGGTATATTAATATTAAGTTAAAATTATGTCGAACTCGTGCGAGTGAATATCTACTCGTGTCGCTGTGTTGCCGTCAACTCTCTTGACAGTCGAGGAGAGGGTTGCCACCCTTACCGTTCGGCCTTTCCAGAATCTTCGGAGCGATCTCGCTCCGCTGCTGATGGATCTTCGCTAATTTCAACATCGCTGGTTTCGTCGTCATCATACATTTGTGGTAACGAGCACCACGGTTTCATTTTATCGCTATCGTATACGGAGGAGTATTGGCGTTGCGTTCGTTGGGACCCAGGAATATCCTGCACCACGTAACGATCATGGTTTAGTACTTGGGTAAGTTCAAATGGGCCTTTGTGCCGTGGTTCCAATTTGCGTGACGAACCTGTACTTGGCGCCTCATGTTCGACGACAACCAAATCGTTGATGCGTTGCGTTCTTCTTTTATACGTTCTGCTGCTGCCGCTCGGAGTTCGTCTAAATTATCGTATGATGTATCGTCGTGTTGCATTACGAGGACGATCTTATTTTGGAGTATATCGCGTGGTTGAAAACCGAAGAGTAACTCTTGAGGGGTTCGTGACGTTGTCTTATTTCTCATACTGTTGATGGTAAGAGCATTGATAAAATGGTTCGATTACAACGCTCGACCATTCCATTAGCTCAAGGTGTTCTCACAGCATTAGAGATGTTTTTAATGTTGTTCTCCTTAGAAAACCGCTCAAATTCTTTGGAGGTATACGCCGTCCCACGATCAGATATGATACGTTCGGGCATACCCAAGAAGCTGCCAATTTCGTTGAATACGTCGATAACGTGTTTTGTCGCTGTATTTTTAACCGCCCGTATGATAACAAAGCCTGTAAATGCGTCGATTATAACAAGTATGTGCTCGTTACGTTTTGCGCTCTTCGGAAATGGACCAAGGTCATCCACATGTACGGTTCTAAATGGAATAGGTTCTACATCGCCAACGCTAAGCTCGCCTTCTTTCTTGCCACCCGGAGTTTTGTTGTAAGCACATTCGATACATAATTTAATATACGACTTTACGAAATTTCGCATACGAGCAAACCACATATGCACATAGATTTGACAACCGCGAGCGTTTCCAGCTCGTAGCTATGATAATGTTTTTCCGCGTCCGTAGTCGCGCGACTATAGTATATGACTGGTTTCCAGTCTTCGTTTTCTTTTTGCAATAGAACGCCGGCCAGACCGATCGAACTCGC